TGCACCATTACTGAGATGGAAAATGTTGGAACGCATGCCTTTGGAGTACTGAATAGCAGATGTTTCATAAAAGAAAATAAATAAATCTACCTGTACTCAACACATCAAGGTACAGGAAGGAAGCAGCAAATCTCTGTTCTTAAAAATAAAAGGGTTTTCTGGAATCTTCAGAAAAATGTAATTCTCCAACAGAAAGAAATGAATTTTTTTCCCAGAGCCTCTGGGTTATGCTAGAAAAAAAAAATAAGTTTGCTTACAAGTATATTAAAAAAAACCCCACACTTCTGTTTTTTAGTTGTTTGTAATTCAGTGAACTGACAATAAATTTAAAAGCAGCAACACCTGTCCAAGGGAACACCTCATACAACATCTTTGAGAGAGCAGTGGTCAGAGAGGTTGAACCAAGGTGCCAGGCTTCTTCTAATTGTCCCTACCTAAACAGCATGGCCTAAATCTTACAAGAGTGGAGACAAATTAAATTTCAACATGGTAAGGACACTCGTGGCCATTAGCAAGCCTGCAGGAATCTGCCTTATCATTCATTTTATGGAAGTGTGCACCTGTACCCAAAATACTACAGAGATGCAGACTGGCATGAATGACTGAGAAACAAAGGAAATGTACTGAGGCTAGTTTTCCTATGTATCTCTTGAGCAGGTAGCTACTCAAGAACAGAACTGTAAGAATAACTCCCAAAGTAGCTGCATGAAAAAAGTTTCTAGTGCTTGCATGTTGTCATGACTGTTCCATGACAACTGTCAGCTTACACTCCATGGACTGACTGTGACAAATTGATTTTCAGAGAACAGCTGGGAGAAGTGAGCAGACTCAAAGGACTGCGTTGTTCCTCACTACTTTTCTCAACCTCTCCTCTCCTAGTCCTCTTATCATACACTTACGACCACCAGTCTGCACAGGAACTTGGCTACAAAACACAACTTCTCTTCAAGACTGAAATTAGGCAAGCTTCTGCCTGACAAAAAAAAAAAAAAAAAAAAGTTGGTTACTACTGTCCTTTTAACACACCTCAGCTTTTTGAATCCTGTCTTCCAGATGTATCTAACCTGCTATTATACTAGAAAATTATGTATTATTTGTTTAGCTATTATACTCCAATGCAGCCTTCCCCTTATCTCACATCCTTAAAGAAGTCTGTAATGCTGTTTGTTGCTAAATATCTCCTGCCATTGAAGCAGCAAGAAGAGAAAGAAGATAGCAATTGGAATTACCTGCTTTTACTGACTGCGAATCACCTTTGACGCAATGGAAAGAACAGCAATGACAGCAGAGTAGAGAGGTCCTAGGCTGCAGCAAGTGAGGATTTGCTCAAATGCAGCAGCTGTAGACACAGGAAAAAAAAAGGAAAGAAGCTGTTTACCTGTAGAAGGCTTCAGGTACACAGAGATCTTCAGCTAAACTCCTTTATCTCCACTGCCAACCCTTAAATGAGGTCTGGGAAGGGGTGAATCCTGGCTCTACCCCTTCCAGTCACTCTGGTGCTTTGCATACACCTGAGCTCCCCTAGGTTGGCCCTGCCTTCCCACTGCGTGCTCAATCACTGCTTCAGGCCATGACTTAGCATTTCTGCTACATCATCTGTCATAAAAAATACTTATTTATAGCACCTACAAGATACAGTGCAGAACAAAGACTCCCCAACATGCAAAATTCTGAGCTTACTTTTTCAGCAGTTTTCCTTTCATACAACAATTCCTGATAAAGCTCTTCGCATCTTTATAAAATGTTGCACTTGTATTTCCTAGCAAATTTGAACATGCCACTAGAGACTACTGATACTGCAGGTGTTACAAACAGAGCATGTTCTCCCATTGAAGGGAGCAGCAACTATCTGTAGGGAAAAATGTGTTTTTCTCGGTAGAAACTGCTAAGAATGTTACTTTTTGGAGTGAGAAGTTAAGGAAAAATGCAATAAAGCCTAATTTGGAAAGCATCAAGATGGACAGGCTTGTATACACGCAACTGAATTTCATATTAGAGTAAACTTCAACTTAAGAAAGAATTCATAAATAACATTTAGTAGTAATCACAGCCTCAGGAATTAAATATTTCCAGTGTAGCTTCCTATAAATAGTCCACAAATGACTCAGTTTGGAAAGGCAAAACATTTTGTTACAAATAGCCTGGAATCTGTAGCCAAAGCCATTCCTATAACCCTGGTCTCTAAGTCTAGTGAGATTAAAAAGCCACCAGCACTCCAGTGGTTCTCCTATGCCTTCACTGCACACAAGGCAAAATACCAACCAGAAGTCAAAGCTTTCAAACACCAGACGTAGCTAGCTTGGCATTAAAAGGTTATTAAGTCTCTAGAACAAATCTGTGTGTGAAGTAATGTCAGGTAGTTCTCTAACAAAAGAGATGTTTTGAATTTCCAAATGCATTGGTTTATAATAGCTTGCAAGGCTTACTGGTTCCAACATGAGGGGGAAATAACTGTGATACTGATATTCAAGTTGCTAATAGCATTAATTGGAATTGGAATGGTGTAAAATGGATTGGTTATGGTTCCTGTTGAGTTATGTTTGCTATTCACAGAATCACCTTTCAGAGACCAATAAAAATGCTCCGTACTGCCAGCTGACTGTCTGCAAGCATGTCTAACATCAGTGTTAAACGAGAGATGAAGAATGATTAAAAAAAAAAAGAAAAAGATTTAGCTCATCAGGAAAACATTAACTTTTCCCCATGTAAGACAAAGTATCTCCTCCTTGGACAAAATTAGGTCAGACTCCAGTCATTGACACAGAACCATATGGATGCTCTGGATTAGAAAAAGCAGCTTCAAGCTCAGCCTTCAGAGACTCAGAAGTGTGAATACTTCTGCTGTACTACTAAGAGGTGTGAAATGTTTAAGTGTCTAAAGACAAACAAGAAAATGATATGCAAGACAAATTGGCTCAGAGAAGTAAAACCCAACTTTGAGACCTATGTTGAGAAGAGGGAAACTGAGGCCTTACGAAGAAGGAAGCATCTGGCTGCAAGGAATGCTATGAATTCAATGGCACTGTTGGTGTTTGGCTTTAGTTTGTCGTGTGGGATTTTTTTGTCTGGAGCACAGCCTCCAGAGTGAATGACACAAAACTGAAAGCGAAGATCCCTGTCTTCCTCCATTTGCTTGGCTGCAGTCAGCACACAAGCTGTGGGATCAACCTTGGGTAAGAATCTGCAGTGCTAAACACTAGGACTCACTGGCCTGCTAACAAACATCTGCATGACTAAAGTCCAGTGGAAGGAACCCAAAGCATTGACTGGGAGATATATAGGAGCAATAAAATAAACATTCCACTTCTCTTCACGCTCTCCTTGAAGTGAGGTATGCATTCATCCGAATGATTTCACTATCTGAATTCATTTAAGTTGTTTAATTTCAGTCACAACGAGAGTATGTTTTTATTCACAGGCCAATTTTACACTTCACTGACTTAAGATCAGAGACTAGTGTTACTTCAGCATCGGTTTTGCAGCATCTAGTTCTTAATGGCACATCACAGACAATACCTTTAGCTGGACTTCTTGAAAAGGCACACAGAGAATTGGCAGGATCAAGGTAGACTAATTTCTAATTCAGTAAATATGCATTTCAAGAAGTAATGAGTTTCCCAGTTCTCTTCTTCATTATTTATAAAAATGCATCACTACCTGTAAAATAACTGTTCTACCATTATCCACCAGACACAGATACAGTACAAAGGAGTGGATATTAAAAGGACATGTAACCTAGACTTCACACACTGGTTTCACAGATAAAAATATCTACCTTTATCAAAGCACACGTGCTTTGAGGATTTTCATGCTTTTGTTACAACTCATCTTGCATTTGTTTTGTTTGCTTTTTTCCCTTTCCTCCAGGTTTAGACACAATTTTCCCAACTTCTACAACGATACATGGCTACACTATAATTTATGTCTAAGAGTTTAATTGGGGTAACTACTAGAAGAGTAGTTGCATGATTTCGTTTTCCACATCTTGTTCTGTAGAAAGGCGTGTACGTACAGTAAATAAGCTTGGTAGCTAATAGTAGTAAATTTCCATACAGAAATCAGTTCTCCATTTCTCAACAAAAACATTATTTCCTGCATCTCTCATTGTCACATGTGAATAAATGACAGGATTTGCTCTCTGCCTACTGCTAAATAGAAACACACTCTGCAAGACTGCTTATTGCATTTAAATTTCTTAAAAGAACTGTGATGAAGGTAAAAGTAGATGGAAGCCTGAGATGTGATACTTCCACTCTCTGAAACAGAAAGAAACTAAGTTTGTTGGACTTGCAGTTCCCAAGAAAATATCTATTAATACTGATTTTCCTCCCCGGTTTTAGTTATCTATCTCATATCTGAGAAGTATAGTGTTATTTTTGTATTTAATGTCATAGTGCAACCATGTGATGTACTTTAAGTGTAATTGTCAATAATCTATCTTCCAGACCTCACCTGCTCCCTAATGACAGATCCCTATACTGCAAAAAGTCTCAGTCATAACAGAAGACTTCGCAAAGCTTTGGAAAATTCACATGAAATATTTTGTATGTTTCATAGCATTGATGATTTCATGACTGATGGTAACTACAGGTTCCAAACAGCCTTCTGCAAGTAAACCAGTTCATTAGGAATACAGAGTTTCAGAAATGGAGACTCCTGTAATAAATTCAGCCATGTTGTAAAGTTTACATCAGCAACTTCCTAGATTTCCTAGCAGCTCTAAAAACAAAGTAGCAGAAAAATGATAGGCGCAGATCTCAGGCTCAACAGGATGAATCAACTCTACTTTCTCTCATGGAAAGGGATTCAGTTCTCATCTGTGTAGAGAGAGAATCTGACCCACTGAGGAAAGCCTAGTTTGTTTATAGCCATATCAGCATACCCCAAAAACCCAAACAAGTCTGCATAGGTCTTGAAAGCAGACTGTAACCCACCATTAAGTTTCCTGAGTGCAAAAATCTCTTGTAAGTTAAAGACATCTAGCCTTTGTCAAGACTTACAATTTCAGACTATATTATGGTGTCATCTTGCACCGCCAGAGCTCTATCCTCCATCAGCTTCTTTAAGGAACATTCTAACATTCTTATCTTGCACAAAACCGCTGTCTTCAGAGTTCTGGGTTCTTGTCAGCACTTTTAATGAAACATGATCTGTGGACAGAGTGAGCAAAAGAACAATTCTAGTAAGATATAAATTACTCAGAACTTTGAATTCATGAAAACAAGAGTGATTTAAGAAAACAGAGAGTTAACTCTAGCTTTGTCATAGCTTATACACACGGATATACTTCAGCAGCATCACTATGGGCAAAACTACTGGGATGTCTGCATTTAGCAGCCCTCAGTAACCTTTCACTGAAGATTTCAAAACCCATTCAAACCTCTGGTCTATCTGAACGATCAGCTTTGTACAAAGGATTATGAAAATAGGTAACAACCTAAACAAATTAATGCGCATAAAATGTAATACATTTGATTAGCACTTTTTCCACAACTCATTGCTATGCAAACCCTGCATCACATGCATTATTTGTAGAAAAAAAGATCTAAATAGACTTATTATACAGCAGTGTTTGTTGGAAGGTATTTATCTGATGTTCTACAACGAGGATCACTGTCTCCCTTTAATTCAAGTGAGTTATTTATACCTGAAGGATGAAATTATGTCAAAACCAAGAATTACTGCTAACGCATGCAGTGGCATCTACATGTCAGCTTTGTTATAAAAATGCTGAAGGTTGCATTAACACTTCTACTGATAGGAATGGTAGCAAAATAGTCAAACTGGTTCTATACCATTAACATAGTGTGAAGAGCCAAAAAACTGCCTAAACTCTACAGTAGGATTAAGAAATCCTGTTGTGTTCCAGAGACATTGGAGACCACTGTCTTTCCCGCATATCATGGCTCACCTACTACACTTATAAGGACCCAAAGATGCAAACCCCGCCATGTGCCGTCTGCCTGACACGAAGCAGGTGAACAAATACCTCAAAGGTAAGGGATTTTTGCTTCCTTTTTTGCCATTTTGAGTCACTTCCTGCTGTTAGATTGAACTTATTTATCAAACCAATATATAAGCAGGGCCTGAAGGATGTACTCAGTATCTCCTCTGGCCTTGCTTTGCTAAAAGCTAACACAAGTCTTCAGTTCATGACTTTCACTTGCATGTTTCATTCGCAGGGAGTCTCAAACATCCTCTGAAGTAGGAACATGTTATATTCAAAAACTAGAAATAAATTCTTCATAGATTAACCACAGAATCTCTATCTCATCATAAATTGACCCTAGGGTCACATCAGTCATACTTGACTGTGGTCTATGCAGAAAAATAAGCTAACCTAGGAAGAATTGCAACAAAGAATTCTCAGTGATTTCAGCAAGGATGAGATTTCCTTGCGAACTTTTTTTTTAAAAAACAAAGATATCAATCAGAAAACCTCTTCTAGAAAACCTACAGGCTGTAAGACTCTAACTGCCTCTTCTTTCTGATTCAGCAGCACACAGGTCAAAGCCATTTGGTTGAGCAGCCAACAATCAACAAATCCTGGGAAAAATCACCTTTGGTGAGGTTTGCAGACAGCTTTACAGGTAAAACCAAGTAGGTAGAATTCTTTAACAGAGGATGTGACAAATGAACTCATTTTATTCTGCAAAGGGAAATTTCTTAATTTGTGCATTAGCTTCACTTCCTTTCTTAATTGAACTTAACTGTCTTGCATATCTAATCTCTTCTGTTAACAAGCCCTGAATAGAGCAGACACCACAGAACTAAATTCTTGCTTCCAACAGTCTGACTATCTGAGGGACTTAAAGCTCTATATTTGACTGATGTTTTATACAGAAACAAAAGGAGTCACAGGATTTTTTCCTCACCCCTTCCTATGCTACAAGTCAGTGTAATTGCCCCTGCTGCAGCAACATCTGCCTTTCCAGATGTTACTACTACCTAATGGAATTTTGAGATCCCAGGAAAACAAAACAAACCCCAACCACCACCAAAAAAATAAAAATAAAAATAAAAAAAATCCATAAATGCTAAGCAACTCCTCTTCCCCTTCTGGCTTTTTTTTTTTTTTTTCCATAGACAAACAAAACCAAAACTAATAAAATTCTTCCTAAGCATGAATTGCATGCCAAAGTGGAAAAAAAAAAAAAACCCACAAAAGAAAACCCTTCCATTTCAAAGAAGTTTAGATATGTTCAAGCTGAATGCATTCATTTGCTCTCCTGTTTTATACATTCATATTAGAAGACGCATCCTATAAACACTCGGGTTGACATTTCTGTTGTGCCTTCTAAAATGACCCCCTGAAATTGTTGATCTTGTCATTTAGAGGTTTCTGTTCTAGTTTTACAAGCATGGCATCCAGTTGACAACTCTCTGCACCATAATGAAAAACGTTTTAAAGCTCAGCCCTTAATCCATAAATGTAATACAGAATGAGAAGTTAAAAAAGAAATCCACGCAGACAAAAATACTACAAAGAATCACAGAATAGGCTGGGTTGAAAAGGACCACAATGCTCACCCAGTTCCAACCCCCTGCTATGTGCAGGGTCGCCAACCACCAGATCAGGCTGCCCAGAGCCACATCCAGCCTGGCCTTGAATGCCTCCAGGGATGGGGCATCCACAGCCTCCTTGGGCAACCTGTTCCAGTGCCTCACCACCTTCCGTGTGAAAAACTTCCTCCGAATATGTAACCTAAACCTCCCCCTGTCTCAGTTTAAAACCATTCCCCCTAGGAATGCCCTATAGGACGCACACAGCAAAAATCATCTCCAAGTGCTTGAGAAAACAAATCAACCCCCAAAACGCTTCTTCGGCACACGCAACGCTTACGATGTCAGAACAGAGGACGACACGGCCGCACTTCGTTTCAGTCTCTAACCCCAGCACGCAACGCAACCCACCGGCTGCGAGCGCTGCCCAATCAAACCCTTTCGCAGCCGTAATTCTCAGCCCAGCTCTCGGGGCGCACACGCAGCCGCCTCCCTCTGCAGCAGCCGGCGCCCCGCGCTCCGCTACCAGCCGCGCCGGCCCCGCGCTCTGAGCGCCGCCACTCACCCGCCAGCTCCGGGACGGCGCGGCGAAGCTGTTGCTAACATCCGGCCGGAGCGAACTCGCGGCCCCGCTCGCTTCGAGAGCAGCCTCTCCGAACCGCCCGCTCCTTCCCGAGCGAGCCCCTCCCCCGCCCCGCAGCCCCCAGCCCGTCAGCGGGGCCGCCGCCGCCTCTCGCCCCTCCGCGTTCCGTCCTTCCCCAGAACGAAACGGGAAGCGGCCGACGGAGAAGCGCCGCGCAGCCTTACCTCCCCTCCCGGCATCGCACCTCAGGTGCGGAGGAAGCACAAAGGCAGAGCCGCTCGCTGCGGCGGGGCGGGGTCGGCGGTCCTCCGAGCGCCGCGCACCCCCCGCCCCGCGAAGCCTTCAGCTCCGCAGCGCGCCGCACCCGCCGCTCAGCGGCCGCCCGGAGCCGCTACGGCCATTGAAGCCGTCACGACTTGCCTCGCGCCTCTCCCCGCAGCGGCGGCCCCTGGCAGACACACGTACACACGCGCGCGCCGCCGGCGGCGCGGACCCCTCCGCCAGACAGGGGCGGGGGGGGGGGGCAGGTGCCGATAGCGGGCGAGGAGCCGCCTCCCTGCAGCCTCCCCCAGCGCGGGCCGAGCGGCTCTGCGGATGCCCCCGGGAAGAGCTGCGAGGCCGGCAGGCAGCGGCAGCGCCGACAGAGCTTCCCCTTCCCGGGGAAAGCTGGTTCCCTCCTTCTCCTTCGCTCGCCTTCTTCGCAGCGCGGCGGCTGACTGACAGCGAGCCGCTCGGCGGCCGCCCACGCACACTCCTGTTTTCACTCGCTCGGAGAGGGAGGGAGATGGCGAAGGAGAAAGCATGAATGAAAGCGGCAGCCGGGGGCAAGCCGGCGCTGCCGCGGTGAGGCCCCGCAGCCGGACGCGTCCTCCGCTGCCCGCCGCGTACGCTGAGCCCCGCGCGGATGTGGCGCGGCTGCAGACGCGGTGCCCGCCTCGGCACTCGCTCGTAGCAGCCCTGTGCGCGAAAGGCGACAGCGTCCTCCGGGCGCCGCGGCTGGCCGCGCGCTTTGCAGCGGAGGTGGCCGCCCCTGCCAGCCGCTTTTGGCGGGAAACCGCCCGTGGGGAGCGGGCAGGTGGCCCTCAGAGCGGGCTGACCGAGGCTGAGGGGTGGGCGCGGAGGCCCGTTCCTCATCGATGAACGCCCTTCTCCGGCACAAGGCAGCCTGTTCCAAACTGACAAAAAACCCAACACCTGGTGCCTGAGGGGCCTCGTCCTGGTGTGATAGGAAGGAGGAAAGGATGCCAAAGATATACGTTCCCTTGGTTTTTCCAGTGATAACATGGTGCTGTGGGGCAGCCACTTCATAGGGTTGGTCCTCAGAGTGGCCAACTCTTAGAAGGCTGTAACTCATCAAGCACGTACATCTCAACCTGTGGCCGGAGAGCAGAGTTATCCACATGCTCCATATTGTTGGCACTGGTTTGTGGTATGAGCTTTATGGGGCTGGTTCATCACAGGATTCAGCATGCAGGCAGTGGATGCCCACCAAGTCAGTGCCACAGCTCTTGCCCCATGACTCTGGGATCAGGTTCTGAGACGTCTCACATCAGCATGCCCCCACAAGTTTAACACCTGCCAGAAAACTTATTTCAGCCCAACTTTTACCCTCTAAATTCAAAATCAGTTTGGGATTCCTACATGTCTCAGTAACTTCATTTTTTAAGTGTTGCATTCCTGAAAACTGAGCTCATGACAAAACATTGTCAAGTCCTTTGCTATAGAATAACAAATGCAAGATAATTTAGATGGGTGAGTGCAACTCTGTATGTATCTTTCTGTTTTATGAGGCTCTTCTCTTCGTGCTAATAGCCCAATATGACTCACCTAGAGCACGTATCACAGCCACAGCTGTTGTAAACCTTCTTCTGAGTCAGAGAATGACTTTATGACCCAGAATTCTGGCAGCGAGTACTATCCCAGTGATTTTCCCAATTAAGAGAGTACTGCAAGTCAGTATCAGTGCAGGGTGAATCAGAGTTTGGTACAAGAGGCAAAACTGGACTCCGCTCTCCCCTTCCAAAACTCAGTAGCATGAACTCCTCCTAGAGTTGAGAAAGACTCATGTGGAACAGGGATTTAGCTCTCCTGAGTCCCAAATGCTCCAAGCTACTGTGCCAGCCATCTGCCACTCACTGCATAGCATAGCGCATAGCAGCTCTACACGATGGGCAAGCAGCAGTGAGAAGTTGAGGGATAGCATGACTCAAATGGTTTTGAAATTTGGGATCCTAAAATTTGGATTCCCTGTGATCTGCCAACTGCTTGCTATACGGAATATGTTGTGATCAACTGGCCAGCTATTTCCCCCTCCATTTTCAAAAGAAAAGGGGCCAACCTTTGAGATCAGGTATAGTGCTGAGCCATAAGGGCAAGAAACGGAGATTTTTTTCTTTTTTTTAACTTCATGTTGATAAGGGTAAATCAATGTTACAGGTGTAAACTCAGTACAGGTTTTAGCTTTATGACAAGATAAACTGTAGCAATTAGGCAGATGAATATGATGGGAAAGGCATTACAACAAAGGTGTGATATCAGAGAGACTAGCATGATAGAAATGTACTATAAAGGAAGAGAAGATGATTGTTCACCCTTATCAGGTTTCAGGTTTATATGGAAAAGTTCACTGAAGAGAGATCTCCAGAAAGAAATCCTTCTCTAGGGGCAGTCAGCCTTTAGCTGAAGTCTAGGAGAGGTGCAGCCAGGCTCCACCCCTCCCAGCCACACAGATGAGTTGCCTTCACCTGTGCTCCCAGGGCTGACCAGGTCTTTTTCCTTGGTACTCAATCAGTGTTTCAGGCCATGACTCAACAGTTCCCATACAATAAACACACTAAGTTGAAGGTATTTCCTGGGTTTTGCAGTAGTAAAATGTCTTATTTTCCCTATGTTTCACCTTCAGCAAGGCAGATAACCTGTGCTAGCAACCATGCCTTAACACCAGCCTAGTTTTCCTTAGAGTTAAGAGCAAGTAATGGGGAATTACAGATGCTGACCTTCGTGGGCTCCCCTCCCCTCTCCTCTCCTCCCCTCTCCTCTCCTCTTTCTGGGTTTGTAGTTGAGAGAGAAGGAATAGTTTTGTTGCACAAAAACTTTCTGTAAATGCCAAGGCAATGCCCTCAGAAGAGTAATGAGTTTTTCACCTGCAGCTCTCGTGTTTTCTTCTGCCACTCTCAGCTGTTCATTTTAAAAAGGAAAATAGTCCTGTTCACAATGTATCACATAAAATAACACAGTTCCCAGTGGATTTTTGCTGTCTTGGGAGAAAGTAACTCTTCATAAATAATGCAACAACCCTGGTTTCCTCTCCTAAATAGCTCATTTCTTTCAAAATAGCAAAGCCTGGTGCATTTATCTGGCCATGTTGATAAGTTTGGGTTGCATCCATTTGATTTTACGTTGCTAGTTTAAGGAAACATTAGTTATGTTTCCAGTGGGAAGAGTCCAGTGGAACTTGGCAGGCTCCTGCTTTTCTTTTCCCTCTCATGGGATCATCAGCATATGTCTTATAAACAGGACAGATCTCATTCCAACTAGAAGTGACAGAGAAAGAGGCTGAAGTTCATCGTACATTGATGAAAGAAACATTTCTATCTTAGCTCAGCAGTGCTTCATCAGGTATATGAGGTCATACAAAACACCTTTCCAAATTGTATTAGGGACAGCTTACATTTGGCCTAAAACTCAGGCTACCTGTACCATCTTGGTTCGGCCCTGAGGTGAGGCAACAAAGAGGTGAAGGAGATGGACTTACTGTGTCCAAGTATCAAACTGTCAAAATCAGGTTATTTGGTCATGGAGGTGTTTTTTGTTGTTGTTGTTGTTTGGTTTTTTGGTTGGTTTGGTTTTTCTATAAATCTATTCCAAAAAAATCATGAAGTATTGCATTCATAGCTAAGTTTATTTTGATCTATGTCCCACTAGGTCTGTTGTAATTTTTATTACAATACCTTTCATTTATAAAGGCAGATAAATGTTCATAGAATCAGACAGAATGCATCTAAGAATGCTAAGGTAGTGGCTTATGTCAGTACAAAGTCAGTCTCTCCTATCTTTGAAATACTGTGGCAACTAAGAGAGACCCCAGGAGAAGGGCAAATGTGATGCCCATGTGAAAAGGAGAGGAAGGAGGAAGATTTGTGGAACTGCAGACCAGTCAGTCCTACATCAGTTCTTGGGAAGCATGTGAAGGAAAATCACCTGGAAGAAATTTCTAGGCAAATAAGGGAGAAGATGGTGACTGGGAGCATTCAGGAAGACCAGTACCTGACTAATCTGATTCTCTTATACAACAAAAATCGAAGACCAAGAGGACAGCAGTAACTGCTTACTTTGACATTAGCGAGGCTTTTGACTTTGTCTCCTATAGCATCCTTATAGACTCTTGTGGAGGTATGGCATGAAATATGAGCTTTCAGGTGAGTGAAAAATTGAGTCCCAGGGCTCAAAAGGCAGTGATCAAAAAGTCAAAATTTATTCAGTAACTGGTTATAAGCAGTTTTCTCCTGGGAATATTGCTGTTAAACACCTTCTTGAGGGTATGGAATATAGTCGCATTTCCCAGATGAAACAAAAGTAGGGAAGCAGTCTGTAGGCTAGAGGATGGGGCTGCCTTTTAGAAGGACGTCAAGATGATGGGAAATGGGCTGACAAATATCATGATATTCTGCAGAGGCTGATGCAAAGCTTTGTGCTGTTATGATGTAGCAGAAATGCTGTCATGGCCTGAAGTAGTGATTGAACACCTGGTAGGCAGGCAGGGCCAACCCAGGGGAGCTCAGGTGCATACAATGCACCTGAGTGATTGGAAAGGGGTGGAGCCAGGATCCACCCCTTCCCTGACTTTTTTTTAAAGTTTTGGCTACCTTCTGGATGTAAAGGAACTGTGGCTGTGTTTGCAGAGAGCTATGTTGAAAACTGCTATAGGCTATCCAGAAAAGCTGGATGCTCAGAACTCAGCTGGACATTGCCCTGAGCAAACTCATGTGCCTTTCAAGTGGGTTCAGCTTTTTAGTAGGAGTTGAACCAGATGGCCTCCAGAAGTCTCTTCTGCTCTGAATTATTCTCTGGCTTTAGTGAGTCTTTGCAATTAGTCTCTGGCGATGTATTTGTATACTGTTGTGTTTGTTTGTTTGTTTTTTGTTTTTCCAAGAAGGGAAAATAAGGCATGGAAACAGGAGAGCTGCTTGAAAGAGCAGGGTAGAAATGTCAGATAGTAGCTACAAAAAAATAAAATTAAATTAAAAAAGCTGCAATGGAAGCTTTGTGCCAAAAGCTTTAGGAAAACCTATGCAGT